CTCACTTGCCTTCAGTCTCCTTAAATTTGGGGAAGAGGATGATCTGAATGCCTACAGAAATGAATCTCTCCACATGTTAGAAATGTGGGGTTCCCCAAATACCATTACCGCTTTCCCTAGCCCACTGCCCACCTTCTCAGTAGGAGGGCTGCCTTTTGTTCATTTCTTTATTGTTCCCTGCTAAGGGCAAGGGATCGGGGGAAAGACAGAATGTGATTATGGAATGAATGAAATTATAGAAGCCCCTTGCTGAGTTGGTGCTCTGAGGATAGCAAAATTTCTAGACCATTGTTCACAGAAGTTACAAAATGGCACTCAGGGCAGGACCATCCTGCTGGGTCTTTTTAGGAATGGTCTGGCAGTCCTGATTCTAAGCCAATTCACTAAGGCTAATATAGAGAATAGTTTCATAATCTCTGGTTAATGTTTACACAAAGTTTTTCAATCTGACAAAGACTTTACTTAGTCTATGGTTCAGGGGAAGACACTCATGTGGTTCAGGGGAAGAACTGCCATGCATGGAGCATCTCTACTATGCGTCCAGCCCTCTCCCAATTCACCTTCACAGCCACCTGGAAAGGAGGGTATTACCATCCCCACCTAACAGCCAAGAACCCAAGGCTGAGAATTTACACATGCCTAACTATCAATGGCATGAAGTGTGTGCTCTGCACACTTCTCTCATTTTGTCCTGACAACAACTCTATGGGGTCTGTTGTGTTATCTGGATTTTACCAATAAGAAAATTGAGTTTTAGCAGGTGAAGTGAATTTCTTAGAGTGACATAGTCCATAAGAAGCAGAGATTCAGGCCCATTTGTCCTCACTGCACAGGTGAGAAGGTTTTATACTCAGTGGCCTAGCATGGCCTGTAAGTGACCCAGCAAGGTGGCTCCAGGGGAATGGGAACTCTCCAGGCTACTTAATGGAATGTCCAGTAACTAAGGCCTCATTCAAGTAGAAAGGAAGGGGATTTAGCTTTTCTATTAGTTGAAGAGAAAACCTATTGAATCATTCCCTTTTCCTATAAAGACAAAGGCTTAAAGGTCTTTGCTCTTGGTTCTCAGAGCTTCTGTTACTGTTCAATATCACATATGAGTGCCACATTGACCTAGATCAACATAATTTTCATTTAAAAGACTGTTTTTGCTTTAACTGTCCTGAAATGATTTTTTTTTCTTTCTTGGAATAGGCAGGGAAGTAGGTAACAAGACTGACCCAGGAGGAAGCTCTTAATCCTCTTCAGTCCAAGGCATATTCCTGAAAAGGAGAGCTTCAGTCAGGTCTTAAGCCTGTGAAGGAACATACTTGCTGCCCTGTCCTGGAGAGACACTTAGAGCCACCGGGGAAGAGTTTTCCTCCCAGTCTGCTATTGATCAGTCCACAGGATGGGAGCTGGAGGGTCTCCAAGGCTATTCCAGACTTCCCGAAGCACAAGAATAAAAACAGAACATTCCAGGACCAATTGCAATGATTGGTTTCTTCCTCACTGCACATTTCCCCCACCTACATTCACCTTTCAGTTCAGTACCCCCTTGGTTTCCTCCCCCCTCTGACCCCTGCAAGAGCAGGAAGACCAGAAACCTCATCATAATCACCTGCTGGGCTTCTGCCTCCATCAAAACCCCTCTTAGGAACCCCTGCGGGAGACCACTGACCGGTGGCCACCACGGCCTTTGCTTAGGAGCACTTAGCTCGGTTAATGGGATTGCAAGGCCCTTGGAATCCTGGTGGCTGAGGCAGGATGTAATTAGCAGCTCATAATCCCTTGAGGGGCATCAGGAACAGCTCAGTGGCTGGGTCTGATTTCACTAATGTCATTGTCCTCCTCTTAAGCAGTATTTTTGGTTGGTATTTTGTTAATAAGTCAGTATTAAAGTGCTTACTATATTCCAGGCATTGGTCATGCAAATACTTTGCATGAATTAACTCAGTTAATCAAGTCTATTAGGTAAGTACTATTAATATCTCCATTTTACAGATTCAGAAACTGAAGCACAAGTAGCAGAGATTTGAACCCAGGCAGTCTGGTTCTAGAAACTGAATTCTTTTTTTTTTTTTTTAAAGATTTTATTTATTTGTGAGAGACAGAGGCAGAGGGAGAAGCAGGCTCCCCGCGGAGCAAGGAGCCCGATGCGGGACTCAATCCCAGGACCCTGGGATCACGACCTGAGCCGAAGGCAGACGCTTAACCAACTGAGCCACCCAGGCGTCCCTAGAAACTGAATTCTTATCCATCTAAGCAGTTGGTATATATTAAGTACCTGTTGGGTGCCTGGCACTACATGAAGCACAAGCTACATGGAAAAAATAATCCTACAAGAAATGAGACCTTTATGTCACCAAGCAAATGTCAAGTCAAACAAAAGACAAGAGATATTCTTTACTCCTGATGTACCTAACAAAAACACTGTGAGAACCACTGAACTCCATTCAGTAGAGCTCTTCTCTCCCATCCACACCCCCTCCCAGAGCCCTGCCTGTGTTATAACCACAGCAGGTGGATGGTGGTGACATGGCCAGGGATGGGGACACATGTGGTAGAGAAAGCTCAAAGGAGTGAATGGCTAAACTTATGGTGAAAGCAGAAGTGACATTTGAGAGCTGAGTCTCAAAGAACGAATGAATGGAAGCTCAACAGATGGGGAAGGAAAAGTCATTTCAGGCTTTTCTGTCTTATGTTTCTTCTTTTGGGGGAAACAGCTTCCCCCACTTCACAGTAATGCTGCCCAGTCCCTGAGATTCAGATTAAGCTAACTTTGCTTTCCTGACCTCATGGTGGGCGATGACCCACACCTCCCTATCATAGTACATGATCCCCCCGGAGACTCAGAGATAGGTAGAGCCAGGCCAATCAGAAAACTGTCTGGGAGTATTGCTTATACGATGGGAAAGCCACTCCCTCTTTCTGCAGACTTTCTGGGGGTAAATCTGACCACCAAGGGCTGTGAGCAGCTGATACACCACCAAATGGAGAGGGCCTTGCTGAGATTGAAGCCGGGCAGAAGCAAGCACAACCATGAGATGGAAAGGCACAAGGGTCTCATGGCAGCATTCAGTCCTTAGATCCCCGGAACTTCCAGGTTAGGTCAACCAATGAATTCTCTTTTTTGTTTAAGCAAAGAAGCTGTAATCAGTGGCAGCATTTGCAAAGGGAAAAGTCATGAGCAGTCAGGGTATGTCTGAGGGTGGCAAGAGGGCCGGTGGGGCAGGGCAGCAGATGTGCGAGTGAGCGTCGGCTGGGCAGGCGGGCTGCGGCAGGTGTGGAAGGCACTTGTGTTCCCTGGGGACCAACTCAGTGAGATTTTAAGCATGAGAGTGATGACAGCAGATGCATGTTTGAAATGCAGCTCTGGTGGCAGTTGGGAGAGAGGCCTGAGCCAACAGAGATGGGACCCTGGAGCCCAGAGAGGAAGCCACTGGAACAGGCTGGCAGAGATGACAACGCTTCCAGAACTCAGAGAGCCTGAAAAGCAAGAGGTGGAGTTGACACATATCTAGGAGATAGACAAAGCTCAGTGTGATACTATGATTTATAGTAAGACACATGGATTTGGTCTTTGTCTGTTTCTGGTAGAGCTCCTAAAACCCTTAGAATTTCCTAAGTGATGAACACCGTTAAGGTGTGTTTTGTTATGTTCATGAGGTGACTTTTGGACCTCACCTAAGGATGAGGACTGGTTGCCAGAGGGGCCAACCATATGATTATAGGGTTGGAGGGGAGGGGTGGGGAGTGGGCTGGAAGCTGAGTTCAATCACTGATGGCCGTGGTTTAATCAGCCATGCCTAAGTAATGAAGCCTTCATGAAAACTCAGAAGGATGGGGTTTGGAGAGCTTCCAGGTTGGTGAACATGTGGAGATTTGGGGAGAGTGGTGTGTCCAGGCAGGACACAGAAGCTCCACACCCTTTTCTCATCCCTTGCCCTATATATCTCTTCCATTTGGCTGCTCCTGAGTTATATCCTTTCAAAATAAACCAGTGATCTAATGCATAAAATGTTTCTGAGTCCTGTGAGGCACTCTAGCAAATTAATTGAATCCAAGAAGGGGTCATGGGAACCTGCCATCTAAACCTGTGGGCAGAAGTGGGGGTGGTGTCTGAACTGGGGGTGGGCACCAGTGTCATGGGACTGAGTCCTTAACCTAGGGGACCTGACGTTATCTCCAGGTAGCATCAGCATTGAGTTGAACTGCAGGACACCCAGCTGGTGTCGAAGAAGCTCTTGGTGGTGTGGGAAAAACCATCATGTGTTGGAACTGGTGCACAACTGTCCTCAGTGACCGGACATGAAAGAGGCAGCAGAGGGGTCAGAAGGGCAGGCTCTGAATTCAGGCACACCCAGATCTGGATGTGATCTGCTACACATAACAGCTATGGAATGGGATCTTATTTAACCTCTTTAAGCCTCAGCTTCTGCATGTTAAAATAAGAATGATAACAGCGTACCACTTAATGGAGGAGCTCTGGCAAGGATGAAATGAGTTACTGTGTAGGAAAGCACTGAGCACAGTCCTTGGCACAAAGAAACCCTCAATAAATAACAGCTGTTGTGTGGAAGGTGAGGAAGAAAGGTAACCAAGGATGACCCCCAAATCTCTGGCTTGATAATTTGGGGATCAGGGTAGGAAATGCCTCAGGAAGACAGGTTCTGTGGGGGAGGAGAACACAAATCTATTTTGAGCTACATTGAGCATGATACGCCTGTAGAAGCTGTGGGGTGAGAGTTTCTAGCAAACAGTGGGACCTGAGAACTTGCAGTTTCTGGCCAATGATGATCGAATCTATGGCACACTAGTGAGGGCGGAGGACAGACAAAACTACTTCACAGGCTACAAGGGAGGAGGAGCAGCCCAGGAGGAGTCAGGGAGCCATGAGGAGGGCGGACATGGGAAAAGGGAACTGTTTTACGTGTGGATAAGCTATTAGGGAACAGGATCCACTTCTGTTTGGGAGCTGTGAGAATTCCTGGTTCATCAGTGGGGAAAAGGAGATGCCTCACCTCCAGGTATTTGCTAGCTAGGCGCAGGGTGCGATCCGTGATGTTAAATACATCCCTCCAGTTGAAGTTGGCCACGTCATTGGCCTGGCTCTCTTGAGGACCCCTATCCAGGAAGTTCAGCACGGCTTCTGCAGTGATACCTTCCTCACCAAGATGACTGTTCAAAAAGGCTTTCACTGTTGGGTTCTCCAGGGTGTCCTTGGGAGGAAGCAATACGGTCACAGTATTTAGAAATTCCACAGGATCTCTGGTCTTGTTTTCAGGCCATTTCCAATTTTTAATGAAAAGGGATACACATTAAGCCTCCCTAAAAATCTAGTGGGTTTTTTTCCATGATAAGGCATGCCTATCTATATCCCATTTCCCCTGAATACACAGGTCTCTATAGAAGGAAAATGTGAATGTTGGGGGTTGGGAAAGAAGGACAGGGAAAATGGTAATATAGGAAGCTTTCTTTTTTTTTTTTTTTTAACGTTTTTTTTTTGTTGTTGTTCTCTTTTAATTATCCCTGCTATATAAGACTCTGATCTCCTGGCTTTGCAAAGCTGGAAATGACAGCAGACAGACATACTCAACCACCTTTGCAGTTACAGAGCTGGCCGCTTGGGGAGATGTCCCTTTGAATCTGAGGCCCTCAAGTGAATTCAAAAAAGCAAGAAACTTCAGGAAGCCATTGATCAATTTTTAATTTCTCCCAGAATTCAAGAAACACTTCCCACCCAAAGTCAGTGACTCCACTTGGGGACAGCTCTCAGAACTAGTGCCTTTGGCCCCTGCTTATTATATTTTGATCCAACTCCAGCAGATCAACCCTTTACTGAGAAAAGGAAATTTATGGAATTTTCTTGGCCCTTCTCTCCCCCTCCCCCTGCCATCCGTACTCTGATTGTGGCCATCCGTGTGCTCTTGTCAAAGAAGTACCAGATCTGGGGGCCTACTTCTTCCCAGGCTTTGACCAACTTCCTAAGGCGCTCCAGCTCTTCAAAAGTTGAGTTGGCCTAAAACCAGACAGAGACAGATAGAGACAAGAACAGGGAGGAAAAATGTGAGAGAGAACTTTTGATTGTACCTTCCCTGCTCCTGTCATAAACCCGCAGTGTTTAGGAAAGGCTTTTCAAGGAAGTGTCTTTACTTCCCAGTCTACTGATATTTCCCAGAACAATCTGCTGTTTCCTAGCATCCACACTGCCAGAATCTAGTTTCTTAATATCTCAGAGACACATGTAATACTGACGATGTCATTGTCCCAGAGCCTCATTAAAACTAGATCTGGACTCCCTGTAAGGAAATGCTCTTCTCCCTTCCTGCCTTTGTCTCTTCCGGGGAGCCAGGATTCAGAGAACTGTGAGCCCTTCCATTAGGGAAAAAATTCTGGTGCTGGGGAAGAAAACCTCATCGTAGGTTTTGTAGAGAAGGGAGGGCCCAGGCAGGGACAAGGGCACAAAGCATTCCAATGATGACTGTGGATGGGAGAGGAACCCTAGACTCCTCTAAGCAAAAAATAAACATAAGGCTCACTACCAGGAGACTACGAGAGTTCAAGCAGGCCCGTGCTCCTGAGCTAGTGCTCTCTCTCTCTCTCTCGCTCGCTCACTCTCATTCTTCTGGGAGGTCCAAGGTAAAATGGACAAGACCAGCTGGGACCTTACATTCTGCAGTATTTTGCGTGTTGCCGGAGAATCTGGAGTAAAGAGGATTTTTCCCATCAGCAAAGGCTTTGCTGCCCTCCAGGCTATTTTGGTGAGAGGGTTTGACTCCAGGCTCTGGATCAGTGCATTACAAAAGGTCGCTGCCAGGAAAGAAGGGGCAGATTTTATAGAAACTCCCCGTTGCTCAGAGCTAAACATAGTCATTAGTGTGTTCAAATCACAGGTCTCATTCAACTCGATGCTGGAGGATTTGACAAATAACCTACATTAATAGGCTGTACCCCACCAATAACAAGCTCATCATTAGTAAGTAACAAAATGCCACAGTGCATCTCAATAAGGGCCTCATCAGAGAAACAAAGAATGGGGCTTGCCCTGTGGTTTATTCTGCTTTAGAAGGAGGCTCTGAAGCCTGCCTGGGATTACTGCCATTCTCACATGAAAGGGACAAGAGGCCAAACAAGGCCTCCCCTTGGAATCTCTGCTTTAGCCTCCATAATTTCCCTTCACATAGCTACTTAATTTCTTTGTCATGTGGGCTATCTTAGGGCCCAACTAATTTTGGTGCGTGCCTTGCTGCCTCTTTTCAGTTTTTAACTCAAAGTTCACCCAGTTGCATTTCTTCCCCACCCCACCTTCCTTTACCCCACAGAAGCCTCCCCCTCCCAAAATAATAAAAGGTGGGAAAGATGGCTTGCCAGGGACTTGCCATTTGGAATGTAACTCAGCACTGCACACACAGATTTTCACTGCACTGTGTTTGTAAAAACATCCCGCAGCCGTGTTTACTTGCCAGGGCCCTTCTGACCTGAGATTTGCTTGCAACTCTGGATTGTCTCCTCATTTATCTTTCTTCCCTTCCTCTAGAACTTAACCCTAGTTCAATCAGATCAGTGGGAAATGTCCTCTCTGTTCCCTTTCCAAGTGGGTCTCAGTTCTTTCCGTGGCTCATATCCAGAATTCTTTAGGAGCACTGCCCATTTCCTACAAGGGGAAATGGACTTTCTGGGAGCAGAAGCCTCTCTGCCCAAGGCCCCTCAACAAGACCGACTTAACCCCAGGACTGGGTTTCCCTGGAAGTGTGAAACCATCAGCTTCACCAACATGAGACGCCATTTTATATACATGACTCAGAAAACTTACTTGTTCTTTTGTCATAAGAATAGATAGGATCCTTCCTTGTGGAGTCAATCCCTAGGAAGGCCTTATAGTTATTGTCTTCATACCAGTTGAAGGAGAACACTCGAGAGCCTCCTCCCTCTGGGTAGCCACACAAGAGATCAGACAGGATGCTCATCAGCTGTGTGAAGGTCTCTGGACCGCCAGTCTGCATGAGAGGCCTGGCCACCCACAGCAAGTCTTGAACACTCGGTCGATGGATGAACTAGGGCAAGGCAAAGGCTTCAGGTTATTTTAAGGCAGTTAGAATCATAATCACTGTTGATTCCAGAGCTCCAAAGTATGGGGAGACCTCCACATAAGCTTTGACTTCCACATTTAAAAGAAAACATGCATATTCTCAGCAATTCTTAATCCAACTGTGAAATAAAAACCTATGCATCTACTCAGAGCCTAAAAGGAAACTAGAACGAGTCTTAAGGATAAACAAAGAGTGAATCTCAAAGTATTTTAATATCACTTCTTCCTTCTAGGCCTCTTTATCTGAATTCCTTGGGAATGTGTCCTTGGACAAATGGAGGGAGTATTTCTTTGTAAGCCAGTTCTTGGGTTCTGTTATCAGGATGGGAATACTGGGGAAAAAAGGGGAAATAAAATGATGGAGGAATGGCTCTGTCCTAGAAAAGCAAGATCACAGCAAATTTCTTTGGCCAAGTAATTTAGAATTTAGTTTCTTATATTTGGAAAATTATCTTCTTATTAGCTTAATTTTACCAAATGTGAGTTCTTCCATCTCCCTGAAATGTGTGGTTTGTAGTTTCTATGTATGTGTGTGTGTGTCTGTGTATGTTAAGACCCAAGCAAATATAGGACAGATGAAGTCTTCATTCTTAGAAGAACACTTTATTTATTTTTATTTTTTAAAAAAGATCTTATTTATTTATTGGAGAGAGAGACAGATAGCAAGAGAGAGCAGCAGCAGGGAGGAGAGGGAGAAGCAGGCTCCCCGAGGTAGGGTTCAAACCCAGGACCCTGGGATCTTGACCTGAGCCGAAAGCAGGTGCTTAACCGACTGAGCCACCCAGGCGCCCCTGGAAGAACACTTTAAATTCTGCACCAAACTAAGAAGAGGCTGGTGGTCTTCTCCTCTCCATATGAGTTCCCATGTCCCTTGCTGGACTCATCCTTTGAAGGTAGATCTGTAATGCTGAGAACTAAGTTGCAGGTTGCCAGAGTTGCCAGGGTCTCAGCACCCATATGTCATCTGGCTTTGCTTTAGGGGAATATGCAAAATAAAAACAGTGTTGCTTTTATTCCGCAAACACACTTATTATTAATTTTCAAAGGCACTCAGGAATTTAAAAAAGCCTTAGGATTCGGTCAGGTGAGACTGAAAAGAGTTCCCCTACTTCAATAAGTGATGTTTACGTGTCATCCCTGTCTTTGTCCACATGCCAACACTTGCCCTCTGAAACTCAAGCACTGTGGAGGATCCACACTGTGAGTCATGCCTATAATCACAGTCTAGTCTTCAATAATAAACTTGGAATCTCAAATTGCTTCGACAACAGTAAGTCTCATGACAGTCTTGTAAGGGGTTATTATCATTATTATGTTGCTCATTTAAGCAAAGCACTTGGAGATGAAGGGGCTGTTCTGGGGTCAAATGGTCTAGTATCAGTTAATATAAACGGAGCCATCTGCTACAACCTAGTTCACAACGCTTACACTTGCTATCTAGACAGGCAAGAAACTTTCTGGAACTCCCACACAGACTGAGGAGTGTTGATATGATTTGGGGACTTTTTTTTCACATTCTCTATCATTTTCAGCCCCATTATACTGATAAGAATTTTTTAAATGCTCATGAAGAAAAGAATGTTAAAGAGACTCCCACTAGAGCAGGTGGCCATCAGTACAATGGGCCCTTCTCTAACTTTCGCTGCACAGCAGCACTCACACTCTGCCCCAGGTTGAACTTAGTTTTATGAACACAAATCCACAATGCAATTTTCCAGGTTGGCTAAGCCAAGTCAGCTGAGAATATTGGAGGGGAAAATTATGCTTCACCTTTTGCCTCCCTTTCATAATACACATCACACTCGAAGGTAATTGTTTATTTCACACTGCTCTTCCCCATTAGATTGTATGTTTCAGTAGGGTAGTGACCATACCTGTCTCTTCATCATTATGCCCCCAACACCTCTCATCTATTGAGTGGAGAATCAATTTCTATACAGGTAAAGGCTTGTCCAACCAGATGTTAACAGAAACATGCACATCTTTCACAAAACAACACAAAAATGTCAATTTTTTTTTTTTTTGGTGTTGGAATAGTCAATATATTTAAGACACTTTAAAATAATGTCTGTAAGCACTTTGTAAGTATATGCTATTGCTATTAGCAGTACAGATTTAGGTGGATTGTAAGAGCATAATAGGATGGACCACATCAATACTGGAAGGACTTAGATTCAATGTAAGTCCACTGATAACCTGCCACACAAGACATGGTAGCATTTCTTCCTAGGTGTGAAATCAGAAAGATGGTTCCCTATCTTTTGCCTCCAACCTAGAAGCACAGATAATTTAGGAACTGAACAGGTGCTTTGTAACTGCTAAATAGAAAGTTCAAATGTATTTCTCCTTGAACAGGTCTGAGTTACAATTAAATTGTTTGATATGGTAAGTGTGGTAAAATGGTGGAAAGATATAATAACATTATCATTAGTATCAGTAGGCTGCTTACCTCTTGAATTCTTGGTGACATATCAGAAAATATTCTTCCCCAGGATCTCAGATTGATACCTTGAGAACTGCGGTCTAGGAGTGTGGGAAGCTGTAATTGATAGGAAAAAAATATAAAATATATATGTGTGTATATACATACATGTATAAGTTATACATGTACACATGGGTGCTATCTGATCTCCTGTATGCTTGAAAAACATTCCCTCCCTTTTTTTCCTGATCACAGGACCTCTTCTGCTAGATTACTTTAAAAAACAAACTTGTTTTGGGGCACCTGAGGGGCTCAGTCGTTAAGTGTCTGCCTTCAGCTCAGGTCATGATCCCAGGGTCCTGGGATCGAGCCCCGCATCGAGCCCCACATCGAGCCCCGCATCCGGCTCCCTGCTCGGCTGGGGGCCTGCCTCTCCCTCTCCCCCTGCTTATGTTCCCTCTCTCGCTGTCTCTCTCTCTCTGTCAAATAAATAAATAAAATCTTAAAAAACAAACAAACTTGTTTTATCTAATTGAGAAAATCAAAGGCTCTTATTCCAAGTCTGATTCCAGGCTCAGCTCCTGCTGAGCTAGTCAATCACAAATAGTTTCACAGTGACATTAAATATGCCAAAGTGATTCTGATTGCTGCTTTAGCAACACCAAACAAGCCTCCTGGAGGAAGGAAACCAACATAGCTGCTGGACTGTAAAGGAAGGCTGTGTGCTGAGGTGCCCATCTGAGCACCTTGGGCTCTGCGGACACGCTCTTCACTGTTCACTTCCTCACTGTTCACATCTCTGCTCCCTTTGAGGCTTTTCAGGTAGGTTGTGGCTCTTCCTCTGTTCAACACTACTTTCTTATATGGAAGCTTTGGCTAGTTATATCATCTTTCTTTCAAAGCTGCTGCTGGCAAATTTGAAGAGAAGTTTTCTTGCAGATTACCCAGTTGACAGCAGTGTTCTGGTGACCCCAGGCCCATGAGACAACACAAAACTATTCAAGCACTTTCCACCCACACAGGCAACGTGGAAGCCCACAAGTTTGCTGGCTGCAAACCTGAGCCCAATTGAACAACTTGTTTTCCGGAAACCAAGTTCAAGTCCTGAATGAATTACTTCATTCTTGATAGTTTCAAAACTGATTGACTCACTGATCCTGTGTCTTTTAGGAATGAATTCTAAGTTTTAAGATGGTGGTTTTCAAACTCAAGTGGGCATCTTGAGCATGTCTGCAGGGGCTCTGCATTTTTCACAAGATAGATGTGTAATTCTGACTCAAGGATCTGTGGACCACAAGCCACAAGCCTCAGCTTTTTATTTGCCAGGGTGGTTCTCCTAAATGATGGGTGGCCTGACCCAGCTGCAGCCCAGCTGAGAAGCAGGTGGAGTCAGGTTTTGAGCAGCCCCACCTCCCATTTCTAGCAGTGGTCCTGCCCTCCCTTCTCGCTGCTCTAGGGGCAGGGGCGCTCACAGTCCCTCTGGCCCTGATACTGAAGAATGAATACAGGAACACTCACGGAACATCAGCATTTCTGGTTCATTTCCTAACTGTAAAACGAAAGGCTTTGTTATGAGGGCTTCAAAGCAGACAGGAGAACAATTTACCAGAAGAAGTAGCAGCAAAACCACCCTTGCAGCTACACCACTGAGAAGCATCTTCTCTCCTTAACCTTTACACTGGGCCTAGACATTGGTCTTGCCAGGACTTCTTTTCAAACTCCTTGAAAATAGTTTCAGGGAACGCTGGGCAAAGAACTTTAATTCCTGCTTTAATTCCATGAGAGGGTGGGGCTGAGAACAGTAGGTAGGGAGGAAGCCAGCAGGTAAAAATGTGTGCCAGTGGCAAGTTATCACCAACTCCTGTGATTCACCTCCTGACTACTCCAATAAGATCTATTAGAGATGAAAGGAGATCTAAGAGATACACCAATAAAATGCCATGTTTGGACTTTATTTTGATCTGAACAAATCCGCTGTAACAATCAGAGGAAAGTGAACATGATTGGGTATTAGATAATATTAAGGAATTATTGTTAATTTTGTTGGGTGTGATGGTAGAATTGTGGTTTTGTTAAAACAAGTAAGTTTCCATGTGTTAGAGATACATAGGGAAGTATGTAAGGGTGAAAGAATATGTTGTCTGTGATTTGCTTTAAAAGATATCAGGGAAAAAAAGTGAGGAGTAGATTAAACAATAATGGCCAAATGTTGAAAACAGCTGAAGCTGTGTGATGGATTCATGGGAGTTCATTACGTTATTCTCTCTTTTATACTTATTTTTGTAACAGAAAGATTTAAAAATAAAAAAAAGGCTTTTTGCATGCAACAATAAATAAATAGCTGAATGAATGAATACTAAATAAATACTCTCTCCTCTCTTTTTTCTCTTCCTCACTAGGACTGCCTTGCTCACACTCTCCTTGCCTCTCTCCCAGAACATTTTCATCAGAATAGCATTCTTGCTGGCCCCTTGTCTCTAGATTCCTCCATTCCAATGCACTCCTCACACTGTAGCCTGAGTTACCTAACAGATCAATCTAACCATGTCATCTCTCCTGCTCAAAGATCTTACATGGCTCCCTACTGCCTCCAGAAGAGAAGGTCAATACCAGCGCTGGACACACATGGCTCCCCCTCTAACCTTCTCTCTTGCTTCTCTTCCATCAGGCTGGACTTCTTTCTACATTTCCTAATATATATATCTAATTTTGCTAATGGTGATAATGCCTGGCTAAAAAACTACATTTCCCAGCCTCCACTGTACCTGGGATGGTCATGTGACAAAATCTTGACCAATAAGATACCAGGAGAAGTCACACAGTGGGGATTTTGGGGAAGACCTATTAAAGGAGGACCCTGGCCTGCCTGGAACATTGATGTGCTGGGGGAGGTAGAGAGACATCTTAGGATCACCAGATGACAAGCACATGCTAAGGATGAGTGATGGAAAAGAAGAGGAGCCTGCGTTCTTGAGAAAATTTGTGGAGCCTCCACACCACTCCTGAATGACCCACCATAGGACTCTGCTTTGGGAGGAATATGAAAGCCACTGTTTTTCAGCATTCTGTTGCAGCCAATTGTAGTTTCTAAATAACATAATTACACATTTGACAAATACGTAGACTGTCCACTGTGCGCCACTGGCTGGGGGATATAGCAATGATCAAAACAAAATCCTCCTTTTATGAAGTTTACCTTCAAGAATCTCACTGATGTATCTTCAGCTTTCCCTTCACTATTATCACATATATGTGCTCCAGATCCTCCCATGTGAAAGAAAGAACTACTTCTGATGCTTTATTCCCCTGTAGCTACAGTCTAACTGCCTTCCTCCAACCTTTATTCCCACACTTCTTGAAAGAGCAGTCCATGTGCAGTGACTTCAATTTCTCTCCAACACTCCTGTCTTCCAACCTTACCACCCAACAAAGACACTTTAACATTCTAGTTAAATCCCTAGTTTCCTCCTAGTTTTTAAGTCTAATGGATACTTTTGGTTCTTGTCTTTTCAGACCTCTCTGCTTCTCTCAACACTTTTGATCATGTCCTTTTCATCCCTCGATGTCTGTGACACTGCTCTTGTCTGGTTTGCTCTGATCCTTCTCTGCTTTTCCCATGAGCTCCTCTGCTTCCACCTTCTCCTTCAGTGCTGAGGTTCCTAAGGGGCTCCGTGGCCTTGCTCCTCTCACTCCGCATACTCTCCCTGGATAGTCTCATTCTCTTTATCATTTAATCTGCTACCTTTTTGTTGGTGACTTCTAAATCTGTACCTCTAACCCTCAGCCATCTGCTGGAACTTTGCCCAGATCCAACTCATCCTAAACTGATCACATCACCTTTCCCAAACCACTTTCTGCTCCTGTACACACATCTTCAGCTGGTGGCACCACCTTCTCCCCTGTCACCAAAGCTAAAAGCCTGAAAGTCATCACTGATTCTTCCCCATCCCCATCCCATTGTCAAAATCCCTAGCCGGGAGACCTAGGAACTAGTACTGGGTCTGAGTGTGGGGCAGGATGAGCCCCCTCTTTGCAAAGAGGGTAGCCAAGGGGTATCTGGAAAACTGGAGGAAGCTGGAATCAGGACTGGAGTCCTAAGAGCTATGAAGAGAAAAAATCACCAGGTCCTACATAATGGGAAGGGACCTAAGAGGGGCTAAAAACCCAGTGCATGGGAAATAAAGAACTGTCACATTCATGTGTCCAAAGAGACTGGACATGAGTTAGTCAACAGCTCCACTTGCTTTTAATTACTTCCCCTTCTTTGTGAGTTTGTTGTCTGTTTTCCTCACATGGCTGTGGGCTGGAGATGATCTGTGGCTGTATTTTGCCTAAGTGGGTGTCTTCTCTCTATCACCTTTCCTTTACTTCCATAGGTTCTGGCACATTCTGGTCTTAAAACTCCATCCTGCATCAAATTCAACACACTGAAAAGCACCTGTGTCTCTGTCATATCTATATGTATCTATATCCACATATCAATATAGATAGATTTCTATGCATTTTTAAGGGCTCCTAATTTTGCTTTTGAAATTATTTGGCTTTGAGTAACTCATTTAATGAATGATCTGATTTCTCAGCAATCATTGAAAATACTTAGGAATGTTTGCAAAGTGGGAAAACCTGAACTATAAACTAGTTTTTTGAATTTCAAATTTTATGAACACGAAATTTAACAATAAAGTTGAATAATATTACCTTCCTTAAACATTCAATGTAATGCTTATTGATTTTGGTTTTAAAGATTTTCTTTGTATTTCAGAGCCATGATTTTTTTTTATTTTCAGGTCTCAAACATTCTTGTAGGCCTCTGCAAAGCAACTACACCCATTACTTTAGAGCCAAATAAATAAAATGGCCAACTCACCCCATTCCACTTCATCCTCACCATCACCCCTAGTGGCCAGAGTCAACTCATCTGAAACCACCTCAGCTTCTCAAGAAAGCCTTTCTTCCCTCACTCCATGATCCTCCGGCCTTCCTTCCCCATGAGTTAGGTGCTCCTCCTAGCTGCTACTAGAATTCTCAGTGCATCCATTTATCACTTTTATATTGGTTTGCTATTATTTTTAATGTAACTGTCTCTCCACTATACTGTAAACTCAGTAAGCATAAAA